TCAGTTTCAGCAGCGGCTGAATCTGGACGCCAGTTCCAACTTACATACAGATTCAACTTAAGAACCAACCTACAGTCCCTATCTTGTACGTAACCCGGGGACTGCCTGTACTTGATTCCTTTCCCTTTTCAAGAGAGGAATGCAGTTGCAGCTGAGCAAAATTGCAAATGAAGCGCGGATTTGAATTTCCCATGCTTCATTTGCATAATTGCATCCAGGCGCTATTTTGAAATACCCTATTTCGAAAAAAGAAACGCTGTCTAGACCGGATTATTTTGAAAGAAAACCGTTCTTTCAAAATTACCCTTAAACCTCATTTTATAAGGAGTAAGGGTAATTTCAAAAGAAGGGTTTTATTTCAAAATAACCGCATCTAGACAGCATTTCTTTTTTCGAAATAGGCTATTTCGAAATAGCACTCGGATGTAATTATGCAAATGAAGCACTGGAAATTCAAATCTGCGCTTCATTTGCAATTTCGCTCGTCTGCATTTGCATTTCTCTCTTGAAAGAGGAATGCAGTGTAGACATACCCTCACTAAGGAGTTCCCCTAGCCAGGGGAATCCTCAGATGGACTGAGTTGCTATGCTGGTTCCTATGCCACTGTCCTCCTTCTCAGTTGCAGAGGGGTGTATCTGGAGGAAAGGAGGTGGACCTCAATTATCTAACTGTCCAAATGATTCTTGGGGCCATTGGTAGCCAGACAGAAGTTAGATCAACTTCTAATCTTCTTGGCTGTGTCTACGCTGGGCCACTTATTCCAGAAAATCAGCCGCTTTTCCGGAATAAGCTGCGAGCTGTCCGACGCTCTACTGTACAAAATCAGCCGCTATTCCGGAAAAACTATTCTGCTCCCGCTCAGGCATAAGTCCTTATTCCGGAACACTGTACCGGAAAAGGGCCAGTGTAGACAGCCAAATAGTCTTTTCCGGAAAAAAGCCCCGATCACAAAAATGGCGATCGGGGCTCTTTTCCGGAAAAGCGTGTCTACATTGGCCACAGACGCTTTTCCGGAAAAGCAGCCTGCCAATGTAGACGCTCCTTTTCCGGAAAAACTGAAAACGGGATAGTTTTCCGTTTTAAGCAGTTCTGGAAATTCATGCCAGTGTAGACACAACCCTTTAGTTTATGACAGAATCTGGCCCATCTTAAGGTATGTCCACACAGCGGGGCTGAATCGGGATATCGGAAGTATCCCAAAATAGTTACCTTGCATCTTTTGAATGCACCCACTATTTTGAGATAGGTCTGGAAATAGCAGACACACTGTTTCAGCATCCCTGTAACCCTCGTTCCATGAGGGCTAAAGGATTTCTCAATATAGCGCGTTATTTTGAAATATGGCAAATTGAATATCTTATTTCGAGTTTAGGATGCTATGTAGATGAACCCCTATCATTGTCTTTAGGATTGGGTTAGCATAGAGGTGATTTAAAGCTAAAGGGTTCTGAGGTCAGCAGATCCCTGTCTAGATTGCTGCACTTTGCCAACAAACAGCTGATCGGTACAGCGTGGTGGCCATTTTGATTTAAATGAAGCGGCGATTATTTAAATCACCGCTTCATTTCCCTTTGTCGTCCTGCCTCATCTATGTGGCTCCGTTAACGGAGCCATGTCGTCTAGACATACCCTTAGTGTCCTTTACAGGGATTCTGCTATTTTTTCATGCTAGTGTTTCTGGCCTTTTCCCGTTTGCTTTTAAAGGTCCCCTTGTTTCAGGAAACAGAACTAATTACTTTATAATAACTAAAAAAAAACCTCCAAAAAACAAAAACCCAAACCTAGGTTCAAGGAGAACATTAATAAAAATCATTCTTTTACCCATGGTGGTGCTGGGGGCCTGTGCTGCTGATTCTCCTAACTTTCAGAAAGCACACAAAACTGAGATATTAACTGTTGAGCCTTAATGCTGCAAAGCAATCACTATAAGCTCAGATCCAACTGAAATCAGTGGGACTTGAGCATAAGCTAAAAAATGGCTATAGGTATATGTTTAAGTGCTTTGTTGAATTGGGGTCTAATACTTGGTTATTTTTCAAAAGAACAGGGCTGTTATTCCCAGTGTCCTAGCCAGATTCCATCTCTGTATTTAGGGGTGAATTGATGAATGTAGGCTCAGATCCATTTACGCTCTGGGGTTCCCCGACAGCTGGGTGTGTGTTCATGCATGCCAGTTGACTCAGTCATGCCTCCCATCTGTTGCTGATTCGTCCCGTGTCTTGGCTGACACTGTGCCTTGTGGCCCCTGAATTCATTCCCTCTTCTCTAAGTTCTGTGCTGGGAGCAGATGGGTGACCAGCAGCAATCAGCTGTGCACCAGGATGCCAACAGCATATTGAGGCAATGATTCAAGTCGGTGAAGCCTAGATCACCAGAATCCCAATTCATTTACTAATTATTTAAATTTCTGTAGTACCCAGAGGTCCCATTGTATGTACATAAAGGAAGATAGCCCCTGCTCTGAAGCGCTTACTGTGTAAAACAGACAAGACAAAGGACGTATTATTAGCCCCGTATTTTAGTTTAACAGATGGGCAGCTGAGGCACAGAGAGGTTAAGCAATTTGCCGTAAACACCAGGAATTCCATTACAGAGCCAGGGATTGAACTGAAATCACTGAGTCCTAGGTCAGTGTCCTAGCCACAAGAGCATCCTTCCCCATTAATGTGCCCCAGCCAATATTACTGTATATTATGCAGCCTACAAAAGTTTGGCTCCGGTTCTTCTGGATGAAACGAGCTATGTGATACTAGACAATACCAGTATACTAATTTGCCTTTGTTCTCAACGGGGCTTTTGATGCAGGGCCATTTAGTAGCACAAGCTAGAAAACAAAAACAAGAGGAGTTACCTGATGTCAACACTGATTTTATTATCTCCATTAGGCTGTTGGTACCATGTAAGTAATGGGATATCGGCAGGCAAATGTGATATTGATAAAGGACCTTGTAATTATATCAGAGAAGTTGCTTTGTATAGTGTTGCTGAAAATAAAGTGTGCACCATCAGAAGCCTGAAAGATAATACAAAGAGTTGTTGCTATTTCTGTTGAAAGAGCCTAATTTGCATAATATGCTGAACATTTAAGGATACATGTGTCACTGTACATTTTGGAACTCTATTAAAATTAATTATTATTACTAGTTAATAAGGTTTCTTATGAGACAGACTGAAAACAGGACTCCATTGTTCTATAAACAGCACTTGACAGCTCCTGCCCAGAAGACCTTACAATCTAAAGCAGTGGGTTTTCAAACTTTTTTTCTCATGACCCAGTTGAAGAAAATTGTTGATGCTCGTGACCCAACATAATATCACTAGTGTATGCGCTCCGGGGTGGGGCTGAAGATAAGAGCTTTGAGGTCTAGGAGGGGGCTATGGCTTTGGGGGTGGGGTTGGGGTTGGGAAAGTCAGCGGTACAGCAGGGGTACTAAGGCAGACTTCCTGCCTCTCCTGGCAATGCAGACCATGCTGTGCCCCAGAAGCAGCCAGCAGCAGGTTACCAGGCAATGCGAATGTGGAGCTAGTGCTCAGGGCAGGGGCAGTGTGTGGAGCCTTGTGCACTCTCCCCCTCTCCCCAGAAGTTGGGCTTGTTGCCGTCTGCTTGGGGAGCACAGTACAATGTGCGGTTCCAGGACAGGTAGGTTGTCTGCCTTAGTACCCCCACTGGTCACCTAATCACCCTGTAGCAATGAGACCCAGTGCCTGACATTCCACGACCCAGTATTGGGTTGCAACCCATAGTTTGAAAACCACTGATCTAAAGGTATGGTCCTGCCTCTGTATTCAAATATGGTAGTAGGTGTATGGTAACATATATGCAGGACTTGGAGAGAGAACAGTCATCATACAAGGAGATCCAGTAATAGACTTGTAAATGTGCAAATGGAGCCATGGCAAGTTGTGTATAGACAAATGATAAAGAATGTTCATGGAGGTGGAGCTCTAGGGGTGTGTGAAGACATTGTAATGCATTTGCCTGAATCAAACCATGATTGCAAGCATGTGCTCCCAGATGCAAATGAATGAGCGTAGAGGTGAGGCCAGCCATGTGAATAGAGCTATAACAACGAGTGTGCCTTTTGTGGTACACATAGGTTTGATTTTGTAACAAAACAAAACAATATAAATGTTTTTGGCCAGTTGTTGGTTTTTGCTTTGCAAGTTAGGAGGTAATAAAGTCCTGTTCAGAGACACCAGTTATTTAGGGACACCTCTTTTCACTAAACAATTCCATACTCGACAGGTGATGGAATCTAATTTTTCCCATAGCAGCTGTAGTAGTGTTCTTGTTTGTGCGTTCATTTAACATTCAAGTATTGTGACTCTGAGAGGTGGTGTCAAATTCAAGAAAAGCTATAACACAAACACAAACTACAAAAATCTTGTGCTCCACCTTATTGCTTTTCTCGTTCTTCACCTTTGAATGTTCCAATCTTTTTAAAGTTAATATTGCACCTTGGTTATTTATGTGTAACTTCCAGGGACTTGCGAGGCAGAGACAGTCAAGAAATCAAAGGCAGAATTTGTCCCTTTCATTCTTGTAACTAGCTCACACCTTGCAATGCTCTTGTCCAATGTCTTTTCTCCCACATAACTTTTTAAAAACTGGGAGCCACTTACAGTAAAGTTTTTATAAATTCAGGGCTAAATGTCTACAACTCCTACTGAAGTCAGTGGGAACTGCAACCCTCCCGTCCTCCAGACATCTGAGAACAAAACATGGCACACAATATTTTACCTAAACTCTGTCTTGTGTTTTAGCTGTATTTTTTTCTTATGTTGCTGATTACTCCAGTTTATGTTTTTTCCTTTTTAATCAACCGTGTCATCCTTCTGAATCATTCTATCTCACCGTGTGTGACATCCCAGTTATTTCCATGGGCATGTGATACTGTGTAAGAGGAGACTGATTAGAAAGGGATGTGTCTAGTTTACACATGCATACATTATTATGGTAATGAATCATTTGATGAGGACATTAGAAAAATATGATGGGCTTGATGATGCTCTCATGCCAGTATATATTGGGAGTACTCTGCTGCAATCACCGGATTAAACTAGACGTAATTGGGGTAAAGGAGAGAAGGATCAGGTTCTATATTTTAAAAACACAGGACATTGGACTTTCAGTGCAGCACTTTTAATCTGATCAGAGATGCTGCCTTTGGATTTGATTAGGTGCTAGAAATCATCAGACATAATATATTGGGAACTGGAGTCAAAGGTATTTGAGGAAATTTATGTAAGTAATAAGCAGTGTTCTCTCTAAACTGTGCAGCTTCACAGGTCAATCAGCCCCACCCGGTCAGAGACTCAGGGCTCCATGCACAGAGCTGACTGACTGGGCAGGGCTGATTAATCACCTGCAGGCCAGGCCTTTGGGCAAGGAGAGCAAGGCAGGCTCCTTGGGCCCCCCACATTCAGGGCCCCATGCTGCCCAGCTCCCAGCCCCGCCCACCAGGCCGGGAGCCATGTGGCCATGAAGCTCAGCATGCAGCCTTGGGCTCTGCATGCTCTTTGGCTGGGCCTGATCACCTGTGAAGCTGTGCTGCTGCGCCACTTAGAGGGAATACTGAGAAGCATCTATGATTTGAATCTCAGAAATGTCACGTGCACTTTTTTCTCTTAAAGTTCAACTATATACTTAAAAAGCTGACTTTGCCCAGAAGCTAGTTTAAATCGTTCACCTCCCCCCTTTATAATTTAATGAACCCTTTTACCTGTTGCTTTTTAATAGCCTGTTAATTGTAATTAATGGCAGAATTTGTCTTTCTATTATAGCTGGGGCATTCCAGCATAAACTGCATATGTACAGCAGATCTTTGCAGCTGCTCAAATGCACCTCTGGCAGTGTGAGCTTTTTGCTCAGTGACAGTCGTCTGACAGTGAATTTATACTTTAATACAGTAAGTGTTAGTCATATTTTTGTGAGTGAGACTACATTACTGCTACTAATAATTCACACTACATGTATGATTTGTGTTAGTGCTACAATGTTCTAGGAACTCTTTATGGAAGCATCTGTCTTGCCGAACGTCTGAGAGAATAACAAGAAACTAAGACTGAGTGGCAGCAATGGAATATAGAGAAAATACTGTATTGTTTGATTTGGAGATAAACATTTGAGTTATTCTGCAGTTGTAATCTACCACAGCTGTAGCACACAGAGAAACAAATATCAGAGGGGTAGCCGTGTTAGTCTGAATCTGCAAAAGTGTCGAGGAGGCCTGTGGCACCTTATAGACTAACAGAAGTGTTGGAGCATAAGCTTTCGTGGGCAAAGACCCACTTCATCAGATGCATCTGACGAAGTGGGTCTTTGCCCATGAAAGCTTGTGCTCCAACACTTCTGTTAGTCTATAAGGTGCCACAGGACTCCTCAGAGAAACAAATGGTATTCAAAGGAAGTAATACAACTACTTCACAACAGCATCTTGTGCATATTACCATTCTAGTCCCACAGTCTGTGAAACTGGTTTTAATGCTGAATATGTAGAAGCTTCCTGTTTTGGTGCCATGGTATTCTGGGTCATTGAGACATAAATCAGAGATCTGGAATGAAATGATAATTTTTTGTATAGTTTATTATACTTTTAGCACCAGTTTATTTCATGTTTAGATCATCACTACCTAATCTGTATAACATTCTGGGTCTTAAGGCATAACATGTCATCATCAAATAGTAAAACAAAGAGCAGACTGTCAAACTTAACTACACGCAGTACTGTATAAAAAAAGGAGAGAGAAAGAGAGAGAGCCAAAAATTCATTTTTTCTAAAGAGCCTGATTCTGTTCTCACACCAACGTAGGTGACATCAAAATCTATCTAAAATACTATGGACCAAAGTATAGATGTGAATCCTAGTGTAACACAAGACTTTCAGCATTCAGGAGTTAGGAGTGCTGGGGGAGAGAGTGGAGCAGCAGCAGTTATTGTATCTTTACTAACAATGGGGCAAGTGTTCCCTCAGCATTGCTCTTCTGGCATAGGGCCATGATCCAACATTGTTTTGAGGACACAGGATCATAATCACAACCTCTCTGGGGCATTCAGCACTGCAGGAAATGAGGCAGTAGCATTTTGGCTGTTTCCCACAATGTTGTACTGGTAAGCTGTGGCAGACCAGTTTCTTGTGTTTCTCCTCTCTAATTTTCTACCTCTGACCAGGGCAGGCATAACAAAACCCTGCACGTTTGATTTAGATGACTCCAATATAAACTTGGCTTCTTTTTTTGTTACTGCTTCTGTGCTTTCTAATGTAATGTTAGAATGCTTGACTTCACGCCAATTTATGTGTTGCCAACTGAAGGCAGGGGAGTAAGTCTCACACTTCTCCAGCAAAATGGGGGCAAAGAGTACAGCAAGACATTATCATACATATCTTCTTTTCACACCTCTGTGCCTCCCTACTTCAGTCATTAAGTTAGTAGACTAATCCATCAACAAGCAATACAAAGCAACAAACATGAACACACTTCTCCTAAGGACTCAGCAAATTATGCAGAAAAAAATAAGAATATCTTAACTGCCAGCAAATTTGCTCGACAGGGTTGCTGGAAAATGCAAGCATTCTGCCTGAATAATGATGAAAGATACTCTTTAAAATGATAACCTGAATCTTAGGGAAATGTCTTGGGATACAGGACAGACTGTTAAGTACTTGCTGGTTTATGTTAAAGCTTAAGGGAATACCTACATGACATATCCCTGTGCATAAGCTGCATGCAAAGCAGAGGTTTAAAATCCTGATAGACACACAATAGGGCCAGGTGTTCATTTCAAGCTCTCTTTGTTTCTTTTTGTCACATTTGATAGTAGGGCATGCCCCACCAAAGTCAACAGTGAATCAGCAGTAAGATCCCTAGATTGCAAACTGTTGAAACCAAATGGAAAAGCTAAATGGAAAAGTACTAGGAGGAATTACGTTAAAAAGGACTTATTGTTTCCTCTGTGTTTCCACTTGGTCACTGCTAGATTATATAGTTTAAGAGTCTCATATGCTGCATACATCTTCAATAGTAGCCATGATGATAGAATTTGGCCCATCATTTGTTGTCTGTCCAAATCCAGGAGCTTGCATAATATCACAATGGTGTGAACTACAGGATGAATAATAGTCACTCAGATTAGGAGACACTACATTGCATGCCAAAAATTTATATTGTACATGAACACAGTATTTTTTTAAAAAAAGTTTAACACATGAAAGTACTTACTTGGATGGGAGGGTTCTTTGTCAGAAAGAATTTACTTGGAATCGCCACCTCAATCAGGTCTTTGATACAGATGATGGTTTCATTGATTTCTGTATAAACATTAAAGTTCAGCATGTTATTAGAGGCAAGTTAAAGTCTATCTGTGGCTCAGCTCCCCATCTGTAAAATGGGGGAAATAGCACGTCCTTACCTCACAGATGCATTGTAAGCATAAGTATATAAAGACTGAGACATTCAGATAACATGGTGATATCAATACCATAGATAGTTATGGCCTCAGACCAGGTTCACTGGCAGGCTTTTAAAGCTAAGCAAATGAGCGCAGGCCAATTTATGGTTTCAATGCACAGTCAGATGAAATGTGGAGATTTCATCTGAGATTCGTTTTAAGATTTTTGGAATTCATTTACATCCCCTTTGTGCATATGAATTGCTATACAGTGCATGATTCAGGTTAAAATTATTTTATAGACCAGGTTTAATCCTTATGAAAGATCTTGTGGTTTAGATATGTGGCTGCAATGCTTGCTTTCTAGTCTTG